TTTGCTTTTTAACAAACCTAAAAGCATTAAAAATGTTTTTCTATTTACAATTTCAAGACATAATAGTTGCTAGGACATTATTTTTCCTGAAACAAATTGAAAAGCTGTGTGTGAAAAATGAAGTTAACCGTTTCTAATTTAAAATAAGAGGGCGACAGCTGCAGTTGATCTAAGTCTTTGACTAATTATTAGCAAAAATACAATGGATAGTTGGAAATTTGAATAAACTAAATTACTGCTAAAAGGATTAACCATATAAATAGAATAAATCAAATATTGAAATAATCTAATTTAATAATCTATTAATCATTAACATAGCATGGAGACTCAAAAAAAGTCAAATGCTGAAAGAACACATTGAGAGCAGCAATGAAACACAAATCATTTATTCAGAAAGGACTTTAATACTCTGTAGCTTTATAACGTTTTATTACAAATTTCAAACTTTTACGGGTTTTTTTCTTTGTTTTTTTGTTCGTTTTTTTTAGCAATATTGCTAAAGCTTGGCTCACTGTTTTGTGCCGGGCTGTATAAACCAATAAGACTGACTGAAATACCTTGAGCAGGTGGAACCTGGCTTTAAAACCCTCATCACTGCAGCTTTATTAGCAGCCATGTTGCCTCATGCAAATTAATCATCTCTAAAGCCCTCTCCCTGAATCCTAGCAGTGATGAAGAAGAATCAGACAAAAAGTGGATCATTTTATAAAACTGGAGTTGTTAGCTTCCATAGAGAGGCAAGTCAGTACTGTAGAAGGTACAAGTCCAAATAATAAAAATACAACAGTATGTTTCTTACAGATGAAGAGTGATGCCCATGTCTCGCAGCTCTTTAACCGACAGCAGTGGAGAAATGATATCTTGACCAAATCTGTCGTATATTAACACCTGCAGAAAATCAAACATGTAAACATGACATGAGTCGGTCTGTGTTATGTTTCTCCTTTGTTCTGCTGCTTGGGAGCCCAAACTGTGGTGGTGGCTTGTTGGAAACAGAGTCCTTTTGTTTGTAGAAAACAATTGTACTGTATGAATGCGGCTAACGGTTTGAAATGAACATCCATCTTGTTTTTTTAAAACTCTGCTGCCTACAGAAGTTTGACACAGACTTCTCATCTAAGAAAAGGCTTTTATTCTGAAAAAATTCCACATTTACACCATGGGATATGGCAGATGAGTTTGGGGGTTAAATATTGATTCATAACGATCCATTCTGCTTATCAGTGCTCGACTTTGCTACAATTTTTGGCTTTGTTTCTCTTCTCTTCTCACTTTTTGTCACCTGAACACAGATACTCTGTAGGTCAGGGTTGTTCTTCACCATCTAGATCCTCGATCTTTGGGCAAAGTTAGATTGGAGGGTTTGTTCATGTCCCTTAAAAAGCATAACACTGTTTCTAGACAAAGCATGTCCTTAAGCTAACTGACTGAGATACTTTCCTCTGAAGCCCAACTTATCCACAGCTCTTATCTGCCTCGCCAAAGGTCTAAATATCAGTCACTGTCCTCTTCTGCTCTGCTGTGAGAAACGTTTGACTGACAGACTGGCCCCCCAGGTCATGTCTGCACATTTGCAGTTAACAATAGTCACCCTACTATTGCCAACTCAGCAACTTTCTTGCTGTATTAGTAACGTTTCAGATTTTAAAAAATCAGCATCAGCCAAAATTGGAATCGGCAGACCAGACTGGTGTTCGGCCAGAAAACTGCACTCAGGGCACCCCTAGAAGGAATATTTTATTATTTATTTAGGGACAGATCCATTTGGCCTCTGTGTTCATAAAATCCCTTAATGTGTGCGTGAATGATCCCAGTGTTTGTCCCCCACTTTGTGACTTCAATTGACCCAGCAAAGGAGAAATGAGTGGCCCAGTGACCAAAGTGTTACCTTCCATACAGGCTCTGCTGCTGCATTCTTCAGAGGAGGAGTGTTGAAGTTCAACATTCGCTTTAAGGCGACTGCAGAAACACAAAGACACCATTTACTCTCTCAACAAGTGCTCAGATGAGCATCTTCTCATCATAAATATCTTGAACTGAGGAAATACATAAATCAGACGCTGTTCTTGGTAAATAAAGTACATAGAGGACAGGTTTTGGTTTGTAGAGAAACCTTTGGAATTGGGACATATGGAACCTCACATGTAACTGCCATGGGACTGCAATTCTCTAATCTTATTCCTACAGACATTCCAAAGAGGAATTTATATATATATGTGTGTGTGTGTGTGTGTGTGTGTGTGTGTGTGTGTGTGTGTGTGTGTGTGTGTGTGTGTGTGTGTGTGTGTGTGTGTGTGTGGTTGTTGGTGTGTGTTGTATTTTAGCTATGCTGGAATTACAGTAAATGTGAAGACTTTTTCATTAATCATAGTTCTAACAAGCCATTTTGAAATATATAAAAATTGATTTTAAAAATCTTCGTTGAATAGAAATATCTAAATCAGATAAGGGTATGAATCGTTTTGGGATTAGCTGAAAATATTATTTGGTAGAAAGTCAAGGCACAAAAATGTAACTTGTACATTCCTGACATACAGATAATTGTTAAGGTTTAAAACACACATCCAGTGTGTTGGGAAGGCATGCAGACACACAAGATGTGACCCAGAGCTGTCAGAACTGGGTCAAGTACCGTGTATGTCTCCACTACACTGGTACTGATGGCCCAAAGAGACATCCAGAACCACATTCTGATACAACCGGCTGCCCACGGTGGGACTGAACCCTTTATTATGTTTGTTCTAAGCAAAATGAATCATCTCTACCTCACCAGCTGCCTCATAGGGGAAATAGGCATAATGTGAACTAAATTATGTACAATATGTGATCTTCGCTCTGTTTTTTTTTTTGTGTGAAATGTTTTAAATTTGAAAAAAAAAAGTTTTTAGAATTTACTTTTCATTCCTTTTGAATTGCTTTGGCTGCTATGATAGTTGTATATATATTTGGGTGTCAGGTCTAAAAATGTTCCATATGAATTAAATTTGATATATTCCTGCTAAAATGTTTGGACATTTTATGTTCCCTTTATAATTATGAGTAATGATGATGACTGTCGGACCACAAGCAAATATCAGAATTAGACCTATTCTTTTACACCCCACGACTTAAAGAAATATAATTTCGGGATTCGCGGCAGCATTATGTATGGATGCATTTCATTGTAGATCCAGGAGTTTCACGTGAAGACTTGTGTTTGAAACACATGAAGCCTTCAGCGTTAGCAGCAGGCTAGGACCTCCTCGTTGTTCCGCCTGAAATCATTCACCGCAAACAGCTGACACACTGCCACTGCCAGAGACACTTTCGTTATTAGGAATTTAATGTAAGTGGCAGATAAGCTAAGGCAGTTTCTCCCGTAAAGCCGCTGCCGCGGGAAGGGACTCGACCGGCGGCTAGCTTGTGAAGCAGGCGGGCTGTGAGCCGGTTCGGAGGCTGACACCCCGCTACAGAGGTCCAGGTTCTGACCCGGGCTTTTCAGAGCAGTCTGTCAGTAATCCTCCTGGCGCACAGCAGTTCCTATCAGAAGAAAAAATAAATACTTTCGCTCACCTGTTTGCTTTTCTCGGACAGATGTCGCCATGTTTTATGTTGATAGTGATGACGAAAACATTGACGTGGCAGCAGCTCGGACGGACGTAGTCCTCCTTTAGAGATCAGTGGATAGCGAAGAGGTATCACTCTGGTTCTTTTCCTGGAAACTTTATTGTGTTGGCTCGATTGATCACTCAGTCTTCACTGGTACGTATTGCAATTTGCATCGCAGTAAAGTGCTTATTTTTCTCAAGTTGAACGCATGATTTGCTTTAAATTAAAAGGCTATGTTCAGTTTCTCTAAAGACATCAAACCAATAAAGTTTTTTCATTAACCCACTATTACTATTAAACAAATTTTAAGGTCCCATGTATCTGACTTTACTGTATTATAACTAACTACAGTATGTCATTTCCATTGACTATTGACTACACTGATTTGGAATGTACTAAATCAATTGAATCAAATAAACATGAATTATATCTTAAATGATTCGTTATGAAGTTCCTTAACAAAGTATGTTATGTATTATTTATATAAATACACAGCAAAATGTTATTTTAATACTAGGCTAGGTTTAATTCCATGACAATGTGCCCCTGAGCAAGGCACTGTACCCCAAATTTCCTACTGATTTGATGACTACTTTGTTCACATTTGTGAGTATAAAAAGGTGAATGTAGCGAAGTTGTCCAAATTATATTTCAGTCCTTTATTTCCTGTAATTTTGATAAATTGTGGCTTACAGATAATAAAAAATCTAAATTCAGTGTCTCGGAAAATTAGGATGAATACTGGAGACTCGTGGTGCCACAGTCTAATCAGCTAATCACATCTGTTTCATGCATTTTCATAGAAAGTTGAGCAGAAGGAAAAACTGTGGTATAAATTAACATATTTTTCAAAATTCTGACGTGTCTGTTTAGAATTTCCCCTTTTGTTATGTGATATTTAAATATTCTCACAGAATTCTTTTATTGGTGAGTCATAATTATCAACAGCAAAGTTTAAAGGCTTGAAATATTCTATTCTACATGTAAACTAAATACAAGTTTTACTTTCTGAAATGAGTGAGAAAATTATTCTTCCCAGTATATTTTTTATAAAGATCTGTAGATGGCGCATCTTAAGATGCGGCATTTAATTGGAATTGATAGAGACAAAGTTTCATTACTACTTTTCCTTTTGGCTCAGGGTGAAAGCATTTTCTCACAACATACCTACATTTTTGTAATTTTATGTTTGTTACAGATAAATATTTTTATCAGGTAATTGTTGAAAAAAATGACACTTGATGTCACTAAAAGTTTACTCAAAGAAGATGAATTGCTTCATTTTTAGCTTCAATTCTCATCTTTTTCAAAGTTCAAACATCCTCCCAAAGATCAGAGAAGCAGAATGAAACACAGAGCAAGAATTTGATTTTATAAAAACCAGATTTGATTTTATAAAAACCAGAAAAACAAACACGAGGAAACAACCAACTAATTTTAAAGCATATATAAAGTAAGCACTGTACAAATCACAAGAGAAAAAAGTGTTGCAGAAAAATAAAAAAAACTAACAGAATTAAAATCTGAAACATGACATGATTCAGAGGTGGAAGCACAAAAATCCAAAAATAGATGGTGATAAAATCCAGTCCTCAGTTCCGTATTGCTGCTCATGCAGTACAACTGAAACAGTAAAGCCAGTAATAAAAGTTAATTCAGTTCATTAATGCTATGAAAACACCTTATTCTGAACAAATCTTAAGTTTGAGGGAACATCATTATATAAAAACAGTTCAAACAAAAAGCTTTTTTTGCAATAGATCCCTAGATGTTTGTGAAGGTTTTTTTTACTGAATCTATTTTTAAATCCAATTTTACCCCCAAAAGACAATCATTTAAAAACAGCTTCCTGACAATCATACTAGAGATGTGAATGTCGAATTCTACTCTAATTTTGACAAAAATAAAAACAAAACTAAAGCCGTTTTTCAGATGAGGGTTGTCTGTTCACAGAAAACGGTTTTCCAGTTGGTTGCTTGGATACTGCATTTGGTAGGCTATATTATATATTTTTTTAACACCCTCTCTGGTACACATCTTAGAGAGAAGGTTAATCACAACTGATACTGTCATCACAATATTTCACATAATTATGGCAATATCATGTCTTCTTGATATTGAAAGAAAGTTGAATTGACAGAAAATGGAGAAACATGACCATAATAAACCCACTCCTACTCATAGATTTAAGACCTCATCAAACTGAGTTTAAGATGATCAAATCTGAAAGGAATTGTTTTTGTTTTGAACCAAAATATGATCATTATGCTAAAGATTATATGCAGTGTCTTTGGGACACTGAGGGGAAAAAATTGAACAACTTTAGAAAATAATATAGTTTATTTATTAGTGAAAAGTCCACAGAATGAAAAACAGACCGTCTCGTCTCTTTGTCCACATCTAAGAGTCTGAAGGGAACAGGTGCACATGATGGCTGATGGCCTGCTCCATGGAGCTTTTAAAGGCCTTGTAGGTGGAAGTAACAGGCAGGAGGAGGTGGTTGGTCGCTGGTTTGCTCTGAGGGAAAAGCCCGTCGTCCCACCTTTCCACTGCATTCTCCATCTGCTCCTCCGGCTTGACATGGTGGAGGAAAGAAATGGTGGGAGGTGGGTGGAGGCCCACTGCTGGAAGCTCATCTGCTCCAGTGACAAAGCGAAGGACGTCCTGAAGGGAAATGGAGCTCCTTCCAACTGAGGACATGGACACCATGTTTTAAAGGGTTTTTTACTGAAGTAATCTTCAAAGATTAACTATATCTGTCTAGATTTAATCTGGAAATATTTTTATTTAAGCTTGTTTTGAATCTGGAGTATTGATATTGATTCAGGATGCAAAGTTAGTTGAACATCCTACCCTCACACTCCAGAAGGAGGTGTCTCCAGAAGGAGACAATAGGCGTCTCTAGGTTCTGTGTCTCCTGCTGTTCGGATAAGTTTATGGTAAAGAGCCGGCTGAGCCTCTCGGCTGTCATCGCTTCTCTGCTATCACAGAAAACACCGAAGAAGACGGATGGGAAGAGCTGAACCTGGATCAGATCAAACAGAAGTTCAGATTTTCTCAGTCTAACTCCTGTTTGTGACATCTTTGTTAAATGCTGGTGCTGTTTAACATAGAGGTTTCTATTACTGTAATGAAAGTCAGCCTTAAATCACCTGATCAAATACACCCAGTGTGTGCAGGCCTTCTCGTAACCTGCAGGGAGAAAAAAAAAACACTGTAAAGTTATTACAGGAAATTTGAATTTTTGAAGGGCAACTTTGACTTCAAAATCCATTTTATTTCTGCTTTTGGTTTTATGTAGTTTTTAATGTTCTTTTTATTTGTTGTTGTTGGTTGCTGTGTTTTATTTGGCATATTTAAAATATCTTCAGGTTTCAACGTGAACTGTTTTGTAGAAAATGAAAATTTACTAATTGTCAAGAGAGCAAACTTGCATTTTCATGCCATTATCAATACTTTACTTGAAAATGGTCTCAAAACAAGTATCGTTTATTGCAATATTTACTGAAAAAATTTGCCTAAAAATACTCATGACTGTTCAGCTTCACCTCCATCTCGGCGTATTTTCCTCACCTCTGCAGAGGCAGCTGCATCCTGGTGATCATGGTGAAGTTGACCAGATCTTCCACCAGAGCCTCTCTCTCATCCAGACTGCTGACCGGTCTATTACAGCCTGCCAGCTCCAGGAACTCCCAGTTCGCTTTCATCACTGCCTTCAGCTCATCTAGAGACTTGGCTGCTGCAATCTAGATAGATACACACCAGCTGGTCAGCCTTCCCTTCAGGGGCCTCTGTGAGGGATGCCTCAGAGCGGCGGACTTGGCTCTGCACTCACCCGGTGGACTTGCTGGGTGAAATGTGTTTCAGGGGTCATGTGGCTCAAACTGAGGGGGCAGTTGGATGGGTAGTTAAACAGACACTGGTAGAGACCGTAGGAGAAAAAGCTAATAGGTGGACCACCGTGGACCAGACAGAGAGCCAACAGAGAGCCTATGTCAAAGTACAGATCCTCACGCAGAGCTAAATAAAACACACACACACACACACACTTCATTTATGGCTGTCATTTGTTTCCAAAATGCACAAAAGCAACAGCTTTTGTCATCTTACATGACACATTCCAGATAAAGCTCACCCTGGGAGTCCAGCGACAGGTTTTTGGATCCGCTCGGGCCCTCAAACACCACAGAGTTCTGGATCTGCTGCATCAGCAGATTCAGGAAGTACTTTCTGGTTGCGTCTCCAGCACAGTGAGCGCTGGGCAGGGTCAGGAGCTGCTCATCTTTGAACCTGAAGACAGAGAGTTGGCGGATGAAGAGAAGAAACTGCAGAACACATCTGAGGTTAAGAATGCATGTTTACCTGACAGACAGAGAGTGTGTGGGGTCAAAGTCAGTCCTTCTGACCAGGTCCAGGCCAGCCAATAGAGCCTGGTCTCTATGGACCTCCACCTGGGCGCTGACAGGACAAGAGTGAGGAAGTAAAGATCGTAGGACCTCCTCGGGTGACTCAGGTCTTACACGAATACACGGTCTAAAGAAAAGCAAAAAAGAAAAAAAAACAAAGAATAAAGAGCAATAATAAATTGTGCAGGTGGAGGCGGAGCTTTGAAGAGTTTCATGTGTGCACCTTTTACAGCCAAGGGGAGAGGGCATGGAGGTCACATGGCGCTTGGACAGTAAGCTTCTCTTCTGGTGGTTATGAGGTGATGCAACCAGAGAAGCTGGCGCAGACAAAAACACGAAGTTCAAAACTGCTGCACCAGGAATCTTCTATCATTAACCATAGCAGAGGAGACGACATACAAATGTATGCAGACATAAATCATAGAGAACCGACCTTTCCCATCCGTTGCATTTATGCAGTCGATGCAGGCCCAGTCTGTGGTGTCCAGCTTCAGATCTGAACATTTCCTGTGGGTTCCTCTGGATCCACAAAGGCAGCATCGGATCACTTCGAACCACCTGGAAACACACCGGATACTGAAGCTGCAGAGTTTCTGTCAGCATTTCTGATCTCCATCTGAGATCAGTCCCCTTCACCACTTAACACTGCAGAGTCGTCTCAGCTTGCACAGTAAAAATATCGATGGCATGCTTTTGTAATATTTCGACATGCACGTTGAACTCAACTGGTAACAGGACTAATCTAAATAAAGCTGCAGAAATTAAATTTCATAAACAATGTGAGGTTTTCTTTTTACATATTTTTAAAACTTTCGCCATGTTATGACAGTATAATACTGACAGATAATCTGTGAAAAAAATGTGCTCCTCCTTCCTGAGGTCCTACTGCCATCTGCAGAAATAAGAGGCAGGACTGTCCTAGCGCTGTCAATCACGCTGCAGTTTTGCCAATCAACTTACTGTTGCAGGAAAACTGTTTATCTGCCATCATAGGCAGTCATGCTAACTAGCCTTAGCATTCACAGTGGAGTATGCTGTGAACTTGCTGTAATAAAGAGCAAGGTGTGGACTATGAGCAGCACAAACACAAGAGTGATTGACAGTGCCAAGACCCTCTTCCTGGAATGGGTTAATTCTACAGAAATACACCATTCCTGTTTAGTCCCAAATATCACAAGGATACCAGGACACTGGTGATTTTATTTTTATATAATTACGAAATATACACTTTCATTTTCAGTGTCAATGTTTTTCTGTTTACAGATCAACCACAACATGATGTACCCCTTCTTAGAGTATGTGCGCCCCTTGTTGCAGAGGCAGGTAACAGAGTCACAGTGATTGTAAACCTCCAGAAGCTCAGAGTATGCATTTGCCTCCAGTTCCCACGATGCATCTCTGCACAGAACAAAAAAAAAAAAAAAAAAAAAAAAAAAAAAAAGACAAAGAAATACATAAAAAAAATTTGAAAATTAATATCAAACAACCTCAAATATTTAGTGCAAGAAGAAATTCTATGTAGAGTCTTACTCTGAACAGTTTCATAACCTGTCATTTAAAGGCTGGATAGATTAGTGAATGCAGTAAGCGCAGTTACAAAGGGTTGTTTAGACTCAGTATTTTGTAGGTTTCTATATTCTATGTGTCATGCACACATGCGTGATGCAGCTGACCAACAAGATAAACTGTCCTCTGTGCTCAAAACTCATCTACATTTTGAGTGTCTTAGATCTTTAAACTCACAGGGGGTAATGGAGAAATAAAGTGTAAAATACAGTAATATTTAAGCTATAAAACAGGTTCATGTTTACTTCAGATTCAATATGTAGATATTATACCTATAATCTAGATATAATTGTGTCACCTTTCTGGGATGTATATTCCCATTCTGACCATCTCTTGTTGGAAGTTCTCCTTGTTGTTACAGAGAGTACATCTGAAGAAGAAGAGTCCCGCGCTGTGAGCCTGATGCTACACACAGAAAAACAATCAGAAAATCCTTTGGAATCTTAAAAAGTCTTAAGAGGGATTAGGAAGGTAGAAAACAGAAGAGTAACATGAAGGTGGCATGTACAACACAATAAAATAAATGAAAGATAATCTAAAATTAGTGAGTGCCACTAATTTTAAAGAAACAGTCTCAACCTGCCTGTTTCCTTTATTTAAATGTCCTGTGATATTTAGAGTTTTCAGCATTTTTTGCAGGATGCTCATATGCAACAACTTTTTAACTTCAGATGTTTACGTTGAAGTAAACATCTGAACAGAACAGCTTCACCTGCTCTGTCAGAGCAGAGCAGGTGAAGCTGTGAACAAGTCAATAAATCTCAGTCAATCTAATCAGCAAGCAAGAGGAGCAGATGTACTAAACTCCTAGAGTTCTGCTGTTAGCTATAGTTTCCTCTAAAGAAAGCTGAACAGGCGTCAACTCTTTGCATCGGAATGCTGATGCTGGGTTTACATAAACTGAAAGAAAAGCTTTCTGAACTTAAAGGTAAGAGTTTCGAGCTGACGAGAAGAATAAAGCATCAGGACGTCCAGCAGGCCAGAGGACCGTCATTTTTGTGCTACAAAACCTTTCAGAAAAAAAGAAGGAAAAAAATCTGCTTAATTTACAATCAGCAGGTCAGATTTTTTTATAAAGCCACAAAACTGCAACTGATAACACTCCTATTAATTAAGTCACATTTCCAATTAAAAGCCTTTCAAATGTGTGTTTACTCTAAAATGCTAAAGCGACTGTCAGTCTGTTGGGCCATATATTACCTGCACACAGTCTCTGTGGAACCAGCTGGCATGGCAGGATGGACACTTGAGGACAGAGTAGGACAAGACAGGCTCAATAGAGTCTAGACATATTGAGCAGGACTGAGGAAGACTGAAGTCTGAGTCTATGCAGAGAGACTGGGTTGGACTGTGATCCTGACAGTAAGACCTGCAGATGAAAACACACATTCAGGTAAATATTGTTACAGTTTTTCACATTGCAAGCAAACTTTTTCTTAAGAGATTCAATTTTGAATTCATGTTTGTTTCATATAAATTCCATGTGTTTCCTGTTCTACACCTGAGTTTTCCAACCCTGAAAAATCTAATTTAATCTGGATTATTTTTCACCATTCCGAATTGACCAAATCTGAATAAATGTGAGTTTGCTTTAAAGGCATTTTAACCCTAATATTCTATGCAAGAATGGATATGTATATTGTTTGCACAATCTTTATGCACTTTACTGCAGCAGTTTATAGATAAGTTACATTCATGTTGACTTATTCCCCACTTCCTGGTCATTGGCAAAAGTCTTCTCACACTTGCAAATCAGGTGTGATCTTACACAAATACATTAATCATGAGCTTCATTATTTGCGTCATGGGACACCTCAAATATCTGGACAATTAGGGGGAAGAAATCAATTAAAATCAGAAATTGGATTTGAATAGAAAAAAATTGGAGATTTTATTTTTAAGCCAATTTGCCCAGTCATGCTTATTGGTGATGTGTCATTTCACACTGAAAATGTATCCAAAGACCAGGGAACTGCCTAAATAAGTCAGAAAGGCCTTCAGATTTCAGCAATTCAAATTTAAGTCTTTTAAAGATCCTTTTAATGCCACTTTGAAATAAATTTAAGACAATAAATAAATAAATAAATAAATAAATAAATAAATAAATAAATAAATAAATAAATAAATAAAGGGAATGATTGGGGAATTCTGCTGGCTCATATGAGTTGGTGATACATTTGCACTAACTCCTGATGAATGCCAAAGAAGCTATCTAGCTATTAGCATGTATTAGCAGCTAGTTACCAGCTGCCTCGAGTCACAAACTACTATAAAGTTTGTGACTATTGTCTGATAGAAAAGTCCAGCGAGATGAAAACAGAAACTACATACTAAGCTACATACTGAGTCTTGCCACAAGTAAATTTAAGACCTGAGATTAACGAATTTGAGGCAAACTTACGTTTTTTAAAATGAATAGAAGATCAATTTAAAGCCTTAATTTTCACTTGTCATGAAGGAGCTCAATAATTTAGGACGTCATTTAAAGCGTGGAATCTGGACAAATCAGCTACAATATTAGTTTTATGGAGCAAATTAAACATATCTTTTTAGACTTGTCTACTGCAGTATAACAACAAATGTATTTTGGGAGGTCATTTTGATTGCAATCGTAAGTGTATGTTTGATCTTACGGGAATATGTCGTTGTACTGTGTGATGAACATCAGCTTCCTCCCACAGGGGAAGTGCACCACCCTCCTGCAGTTACTGACATTGCAGCCAACACATGCGCCCTTCTTCTTACAACCATAGCATGTCTGAAGCACATGAACAACACACAAATTAAAGGGTTTCTCCATCAAAATCAATTTTAAATGTTAAATAACCAATTTTCCAACTGTCTCGGATTTAATTTCGTGACTTTTTAGAATCTTTCAGACGAAACAACTGAAATGTGTCCACCCTATTTAGCACTCACCATCCGAGCTGCCCTCCTGACCTCCTGTTTGATGTCATCCACCAGGAAACCAAACACACCCTCGTTCTCTTCACCTCGCTGGTAAACTCCGCTAGACGTCAGCTACAGAAGACAAGAGAAAGCTCTTTGACAACAGGACAAAATTAACCGATATTACAGATATTGTATTTCACTGATACAGCCTGGCAGGCCGCAATCTCAAGAAACCACTCTTCTTCAGTTTAAATTAGACTTAGCCTGCTACAATTCAGGGTGCTGCACAGATTGTACTTGTCCCCTAATAAATTACGTAGAATATATCCTGGCTTGTGTTAGGTGTGGGCACAGCCCTGCTGATCTCAGTCATATGTTCTGGCTTTGGCCAGGCTCCTCCACTGTTGGGAGTCAATCTTTAGGACGATTACATTTATATGTAAGAGGAATATTAATATTAATGGAATATATGCCCAGTTTTAGTCATTGGACCGATATGATATGCTAAAAAATTGACTAATATTGTCCGATGCTAATGTTGGTGCCGATATGTTGAAGTGAAGAATAAAATGCTTGACTGTCATAAATAAACAGCAGATGAATCTGCAGAAGACAGACAAGCCACAGATGCTGCTGCTCTGACTGGGCAACTGGGATTTCATCCCATAGACATTTGAAACCAGAAGTTTACATTCACAAAAAAAAAAAAAAAAAAAAATTATTTTTCTCACAAAACATGGTGTGAGGTCCAAACTTATCTTGTTTTAGGTCAATTACAATTACCATCTAATTTCTATTAGCTGAAAGTCACAATATTGATAAAAAGAATGTCAGATATTAACTTACTGATTTATCTATAATCAGTAAGTAGAGGAGTACATATCGGTGTGTATGAAGTTCTGTTAACATTGAATCATGTACACATAAAGTTGATGAAAACTCACCAAACAGAAGTAATGGACAGAGAATTTGTGCTCTGTGAGTTTGACCTTTTCCCCAAATAAGGCCGGGTCATCATCATTGCATCTGCACAGAGCACAGCCTAGAAACACACAAAATTAAAATTCTAACATATTCAGATTCAAATCACACATTCACACATTTCCAGTTTTGATCCGTTTCCAGTTAATACTGGACTATGAACAAAGTCTCATTCATGAGAGATTCATAAAAACATTTTTTGTATGACATCTATTCAGAAAGTAGTTTTCCCACTGAAAAACTAAAATTATGTTTTCTAGGTGGCAAGTGACCACTATAAAGGCCATAAAGATGTTTTAATGCTCTGTCACTTTTATGCAAATAAGATGTAGCCACCTCAATGATTACCATGTTTACGCTCACACACTATACACATGAAGAAAGCTGCAGACAGATACACAATTTTACAACCATACATCTTTGACCAAACTCTTCTGTCATACTTTGCCTCAGCCTTCCTCTGCCCATGGGCAATGTGGCCCTGAATCACAATGTTTCTAATCTAAAAGTGACATTAAGAATGATTTATTACTACTTTGTTGGTAACTAAATGGCTGTGATTGTGTGTCACAGCAGTTACAGCCCCACAAACACAAAGATTATGACAATAATCTTTGTGAACATTCCCATTTGAAAAACATTCCCATTTGTAATATGCTTCTTTAGGACACCAGTAACATAAAGAAGTGTATTGATATTTATTTACATCTTTAGTGAAAATACAGTGGAGGAAAAAGCAAAACAAACAATCCTGACAATATGGAGAGTTTGGGAAAAAAATTGAGATCATTAATTGGAATGATCAGGCATTTCTCACAATAAATGATACATTTTCTGTTACTTCACCTGCGGTTTTACAGGGAAAACCCTAACTCAGTGTTAGTGGAAACAGTGGCTTTCATGATTATAAATCACATACAATCTTCCTGTTTGCTGGACTTGTCAGCGTCCCTTAACCTTCTTGACTTCCTCCTCATGATTTCTATCCAACCTGTGGGGACATGATGGACACTGATGACATTTAGTGAACAATTATCACACTACACAATTACCATACAATAGAGGGCGCATTAGGTTGCTGATAATATAAAAACAAAATGAAAACCGATAGGATGGTTACTCGTGAGCAGCAGTGACTGTGAACAAACCTCAAACTCTTTGCATCTTGATTGCTTTATATAATAATAGACTCACCAAGCAGTTTCTCAAATCAGGCAAAAACATGAGCAACTCAACTAAACTTAGTAAATAAGTTTCTTTGAAATTGTTTGTGTAAAACGAAGCAGCAGAACAATCATAAACATTTCCAGATCCATAAAGCTCTAGTTTCTAGAACAATTTCCTATTACCAAGTGATCAAGTAAAGAGTTCATGTGCCATCAAGATATTAGAAGAGCACTAGGATGGACATTATTGATGCTTTTCATCTGGTAGCATGTTCTAAATTTGATATACCTTGATAATTATAATTTTATTGTGACTAATGTGTAGCAAATCTATAATTTTCTAACAGAACTTCTTATTTTGTTGCACATAAATTGTAAGGTGAGGGTTAGGGTGATCCACCGATGAGGCTTTTCATGACCCAGTCCGAGCTCTGCTGCAAGTTCTTTAAATGAACAGTGGTTCAGCAGAAAATAAAGGAATTCCAAGATTATGTTTCCAGTGATTAAATCAACCAACACTGACAGAAAAAAAAAACGCGTGTAGCTGCTAAACAAAACAAAAGGTAACACTATAAAAATACTGCCTTAAAGCCGAGATATAAAATTAAAACAAAATCTTCAGCTATATCTTGTCAAATCAAACGTAAAGACATGCACATCAAACAGATTCTCTCAAATGTAAGTGAAGTTTTCTCGCTCACCTTTGTCGACCTGCCTATTCGAAATAGTGAAGAGCCAAACCCTCCGTCACAGCGAAAACTAAGAAATGTTCTTCCTTTAGCCTACCTTACCCCAGATAAATATTTTTATTCTGCATTCATATTTCACTCTTCTTTTGTAAGTTCTTTTTTTTTTGTCGCTTGTCTGTTTACTCTTAACAATGTCCACTTTTAAATTTCCCTCTTTCAAAACAAGGGAAACCCATTTCCGTTTCCGAAAATTTCTGTCCTACTGAAAACATTCTGCTCCCCCTTGCGCCAGGAGCGAGAACTGCAGCCAAATGACAGTCATTTCTGACAGTCGTTCCATTAATTGTAATTCTGAAATTTGTTACTCATATCAGAATATTTGAGTTCTTCATTATTGACTTTAAAAAGTATATTAACAAATAGAAGTTGCATTGAGATAACAGACTAACTTTCAAAAATATCATTTTATTTTTGTTTTTTAGTTTTTAAGTTTTTGAGACTCGATGTGCGTTTAATAGCTAAAGAAAATGTAAATGTTTAAGAAAATTCGTGAAACTCAAACAAATCGTTAAGAGAATTTTATTCCAATTCATCAATTAGTTAAGGTATTGTTCTTTATGGTGTGTAAAATTTTGTACACAACATTGTTCATTTATTTTTTGTTATTCAAATGAAAAAACATATAATTATTGGTTGAATCTCATCTGCACAATCAGTTTGCAATTCAAGGACACCAAGGGAAAAATCTTATGTGCAAATTAATTGCTAATGTTTAAGTACCGGGATTAATAAGTAAAGCTGGTTAAAGATTTTTTTCTGGTCCGCTTGGATTGGCTGACCAGCTCCAGTTGACTGTACCAGCTGAAGCTCATGAGGATATCGGGTCTTTACAGTACAGAACTGTCGTCATTACAGATTAGACAGGTGTTTTGTTTAGTTTTGTTTGGTTTTGTAAGTCAAATTGTTTTGGATTTTTTTTTTTTTTTTGTGGATGCTTTAAAAGGTGTAAAATAACTGTTGTTTTTCTGCAGTTTTGCAGAAAAACCTGACAAGAATACAACTACAAATGCAAATTTCTCTGAGACTTTGAATTTGCCCAAATAAGTAGATCGTGAGCTCGGTTGGTCAGTTGGCAGAGCGCGCGCACTATTTGCCTCGTGCTGACGCACTTGTCATGCGTTCCATTCACCTGGGTCATTTGCTCCATGTCTTCCCTTCCCTTTCCTCCCCGTTTCCTGTCCAGTTACTGTTGAATGAAGGTCACCGGCGCCTGAAAACACAGGTGAATTGTTTCTATCTTCGTGTGAATGAACCTACTATCCCTACAAGAATAAATTAGTTCGATTTTTCAGAGTATTTTTTATAGTGTGATATTGGCTGGTAAAATTGAAGAACGTTCCCAGAGGTAACCGCTGCGAACATCTCCTCTCCTCTCCTCTTTCCCTCCTCCCCGCCCAGGGGAAACAGCAGCGTCACCGGTGAAGGGCGGCGCCCCCAGGTACCCACATCATCAGCTCAGTCCACAACACGAACAGCTGCAGACAGACGCGGCTCTGTGTCCAGACGTCAAGGAGACTCCCCGGAGCTAAACCAGCTTTCTCTCGCGCTGTGGACCGAGCAGGAAGGGACGCGGAAACACCCGGAACGTTTGGGAACCTTGAAAAAAGGGAAGTTGGATAGTTTTGTATTTGAGAGATGTTCAGCTGGGTGAAACAGGAGCAAGGTGGCCGCAACAAGGAAGGAGAGATGTACCAGACGGTCACGGAGGGACTCCAAACTCTCTACACCAAGAAGCTGCTGCCGCTGGAGGAGACCTACCTCTTCCATGACTTCCACTCTCCGGCCCTTGAGGCGGCCGACTTCCAGAGTAAGCCCATGGTGCTGCTGGTGGGGCAGTACTCCACCGGGAAGACCACCTTCATCAGGTACTGACCGCTCTGTCAGCGGCCGAATCGCTGGGGGAATGGAGGGGCTGTTTCATGTGCTCAAATGAACTTTGTTTGTTATTGTACTACAAGTAACATTATGCCAAAAGTATTAAATATTTCTACTTAAATCTATTTTGATGTAAAATGCTGCAAAATTGAACAATGAAAGAATGACATTCTCATATACTATTTTTAGTAAGAACAACAATGTTGTGAAAATGTATTTTTGCTCAAAAATAGGATTTAAAAAAAATCCGAGATTCTCCTCAGACAACGTTTGGCTGGGAAATCGATTTTATTGGAATCTGATCAGAAAAGGCAGAAGAAATTCAGCTCCAGCTGCCAGTATTCTGATAGCCTAAGAAAGACAGAGAAAGAAACCTGAACTAGTTCTAAAACCCTGATCACTCAGGAAGAGCAGAACAAATGAATGAGTGTAAAGTCTTTGTTTACATTAGTCTGCAAGTTGTTCCACAAGGCAAAACTCCAACTGGATGTTATGGGATTTAGTTCAAAAGTGTAACAAGCTTTTCAGATCTTTTGTCTGTTGTGTAAACTGTTTGAAAAGTTCTATTTTTTTTTTTTTTTTTTTTTTTGCTTCATTATGATCTACTCAATCCAATGTATTCCTCCATTTCGTACAACAAACTCCTCAGAGCGGGAATGCGGCACATTTCTGCTATCTTTGTTATTTCTAAAAGGACCCATAGGTGCCTGGGGTATGAGGTCACCCTGCCTCTGGGTCACCCCTGTCTCGTCTAGTGAGGAAGTCACAGGGTTGCATCAGCTGACCTGTTTAGGAGCAAGTCAGATTCCCAGGTCAAAGGATTGGTGTAGTGACGTGTGGTTTTGTGCAGGCAGACAGTCGGAGGATTTTAAAGTGTAAACAGGACTCAGTTCTTCAAGAAGAGTGTTCTGGGAAATCTTGGTCTCACATGTGATTAGCCTGAGGGGCCTCAAAATAGCTTATCTTCCTAGGATTATGACTGAAACTGTTTTGTGTAAATGTGACAGATCAGCATCTGAAACCCTAACAGTGGTAAGAGGTACATATTATAGCTAGACAAAACCTGTTTAGAGCATCAAATGTTTTATAATTTTTTATTTATTTTTGGGTTTTTTAGAAAAAAAAGACTTTTTTAACTTACTGTAGAGCATTTGTTGTAAACGAAGCACCATTTTGGTTTCATTTTTAGGTTTTAGAACAAATAAAAAAATAACATTTGCAAAAACAGGATGGATACATTTATTTTATGGGGTGTTATTTGAGGGGGGCACAGTGTCCAATTTAATAAGAAGAAAAATAGATTTGAAAATAAAAGAAGTATTTTTGGTGTCACTTAGTCAAATGCAACATTTCCAAGGTAAAACTGCTAAGACTTATATTAACTTCCACTCTAACGTTTTACAGTCTGGGTTTATCTTGCACTGAGGCCTTTTCATCAGAAGGCTGCAAGTTTCACAGATGAAGATCTACAGAAGGAAATATGCATTATTACATTTATTCTTTTTATTCTTTATGGTTCATCATATCTCCCAAATATCCAACCAGCTTTGGTTTCTTTTCCTTTGTGATTGTGTCTCTGCTTAGATCTAGTGTTACATATTCTTGTTTTGAGCAATTGTGCTAGTTTGAAAAATTTGTGAGGATATAAAAGTAGCAGCAGGTTGTAGCCAGGTCTGCCAGAAGTAGATATCGCTTCTGTTTTGTAATGAAATACAAGTCATTTTATTTGACGTTTGAGAAAATCTACATAAAGAAAAACGTTTGCCAAACATAGATTTTTACAACAGAAATGTAACGACTGATGCAAAATGTATCGGAAAAAGCTGATGTTGGTAATTTTTTAACATCCCTCCATTTGTCCGATAAGTAAAACTGTACCAATATTAAAAACCGACACTGATTTCTATCTTGTCATTCGTGTTTCCAGAGCAGGAGGTTGGTCGAGTATAATTTCCAGTGAAGGAGAGTACTCTCGGTCAGGGGTGTCAAACTGCAGTCCTCAAGGGCCGGTGTCCTGCAACTTTTAGACGTGCCTCTGCTGCACCACACCTGAATAGAATAATAGGTCATTAGCAAGGCTCTGGAGAACAAGGAGGAGGTAATTAAGCCATTTCATTCCAGTGTTTTGTACCTGTGGCACATCTAAAACCTGCAGGACAGCGGCCCTTGAGGACTGGATGTTGACACCCCTGCTCTCAGTATTTATGTTATTTGCCCTCACAGTATGTTTTAATAAGACGGGTGTATGAAGACCTTGAAGTGTGTGACTTCCTGGATGAGAAAGTTTCCCAGCAGCTGTAGAATTTGTTTGCAGCCTCTGGGGAAAAACTCCACACCTGAGACATTCCATACACAGTCTGTCATAGACACACACAATGACACAAGATATAGAAAACCTGTCAGTAACCTCTCTAATATATCTTCTGAATGACAGACTGGCACAGTGCTTCTCAGTTCTGGTCTTCAGGTCCCCCTGTCCTGCATGTTTTAGGTGTTTCCCTGCTGCCACACACCTGGATTGAATCTGTGGGTGATTACCACAGATTTATCAAGGCTTCAGTAGCACTTAATGTCTGCGGAAGAGGTACCTGGATCAGCTGTTCTGAAATAGAGGCACATCTAAAACATGCAGAGCAGAGTGGCCTACGGACTGGAATTGAGAAACACTGCTAGCTTTACTTCCTTTGAAATCCATTCAGTTCGGTTTTATTTGTATATATATAAATTAATCTGCAGCAGGTTCCTTACTGCAGATTAAGCTAAACAAGCACTGCTCAGTATTCTGTTACTCATCTTTGAAGTGTCATGTTGATGTAACCGTCATTCAGGGTTGGAGGTCAGAGGAAATGAGAGGATGAGGTGGTAAAAAGAGCTGTAATAATAAGCAGTCTGCATAGGCTCTGTGTTTTATTGTCCCATTTCCTGTTCACTGGAAACATTTCAAAACACATTTTTCCTACTTTACACACAGAAATATACTCACACACACACACACACACACACACACACACACACACACACACACACACAGGGTTCATCAGGACATTGTTGCTGAAACCATAGAGCTTCTGAACTGCTGTTACTTTTGAACTAAAATCCAACTGGATGATATTTGTTGATTGACAATAACTATTTCAAGAAACAATAGTTTGGTTTGGCATAATGAAAAAAAACATGTTGACTATGTGATTAAAATGTAACAGTAAAGCAAAGCCCATCTTAAAAAGTTCATATGGGCTTTTAAAGGATTGTTTTATTTAAAAAAAAAAATAGACTAATTTAACT